TGGTGGGTGTGGAGGTGGTGAGGGTTGGTAGGTGTAGGGCGTTGAGGGGGCGGTGGGTGTGGAGGAGGTGAAGGTTGGGAGGTGTGTGGGGTGTTGGTGGTGGGTGTGGAGGTGCTGAGGAGTGGCAGGTGTCGGGGGCGGTGAGTGTTGAGTAGGTCCTTTCAGGGGTGTGTTGTCCGGCCCGCGGGCGTCCTCTCCTTCTCTGCTCTACCCAAGAGCAGCCCTCTGCCCGAGGTGTCTGTCCCTGGGCCTCTTGAGGGGCTCTGGATGACGGCCCCTGCCCTGTCCTGGAATTGGCCGCCTTCTGGCCGGAAGTGACCTTCCCTGCCGCCGGCAGGGTGACCACTGGCCCCCTGTGCTGGTCTGGCTCGTGGTGCTTCCTCCTTCCTGCTGTCTGTGCTGTCTGGCCTATGGAGGGCTGGGGGGGCTGACCTCTGAGAGGGAAACGCAAATACCCTTGCCTCAGGGTCATCTGGAAACTTGGGATGTAAACCGTCAGAGAGGGTCTCAAACGTTGGGGGACAGAAAAGCCACCTGTAGTTATGTTTCTTCCTAATGGAAAACGTAGCAACGCCTACCTTGCGTTCATTGTCTTGGCGAAAGAGCCGTCTCTGCTCCACGAGCGCTCTAGGAACAGCATAGGGAGACGAGCGTGCTTTTAAAATACGTTAATATTCTGGTAAGCCTGTCTTTGCCGGCAGTGATGGGGGCGCAAAACCAGGTAGCTCTTCAGCGCCTCTGAAAAAGCGTGTAACTGTGTTTTGGGACTGGCTTGGTCGGTTGTCTCTATCCTGATCTAGATGGAGAAGACTTTATTCTATGTACTGGTTTTAGTTTAGTAGGGGAAGAGTCTTGAACGTTGACTCTCATCTCATTTCATCGAAGGCTTATTCTTGTCTGACTGTATATGCTGGGAGCAGTCAGGTACAGGAACTGATCTCAACTTTACCTGAGCAGCAGGGACCCCAGGTGCTTTAGGCTCTGTTGACGTCACTCCATCGCTCCTGGTGTGCTTTTTGGAGTAAATAGTTGGAGCACGAGATCAACCTCTCGCCAAGCCTGCCTGCCTGCTGGCAGGGTGTCCTCCTGGGTCCCCCTACGCGCTGCAATCTGTCTCTGGGGACTGTGGATATGGACAGCAATTCCTCACAATGACACATGAGAAAATAGCATTGGATGTTTTAGGTTTCTAAGCGAAAGTTTGTTTTCCTTATGTGCAACATCCTCTTATTTGCAGATTGAGAAGGAAGAAGCTGAGGAGAGTTGAACTTCAGATACGTTCCTTCTGGCCCTGACCTCTCTAGAGACAGTTCTTGGGAAACCGATGGGATTGAAGATCAAGGTGTTTGCCCTCGTCTCAGAAACGGCGGTTGGGCGAGTGATTATTCGCCTACGAGAATCCAGTATTTTGCCATCCCCACAGCTGGCTCAGAGCGTCTCTTCTGCTTCGCTGCCTTTCCGATACTGGCTCGCATTGCAAACGGTCCTCTCTGCCGGAGTGAAAGTAGCACGTAAAAATAGGTTCCCCAGGGATTCCCGCTTTGGAGACACAGGAAGCTGCTAACTGCCTTCTGCTGGTGGGAAAGCTGAAAACGTGGAGCATGACGGAGTCACGGATAAGACGTAAGTACGGGCACATGTCAAACAGCCGCCAGAGTTGGTTCAGAGCAAGGGACGTGGTGCGGGAGCCGTGGGTCCTTAGGGACATGGTCCACCCAGGAAGTCGCTCTAACAAGGCTTGCTGGCACGCTCGGGAGAGCGAATCTGTGCTCTGCCTGAGCCTGGGCAAGGGAGCCTGCGGTGGGGCTTTGCTCGTAGCCGCTCCTCACAGTGTCCGGAGGAATGCCTTTGTCAGGGACAGAACGGAGGGAGCAGTTCTCCGTGCACAGCAATTCCTTGCCCTGGAAATTAATCTCAAGCCTAGTCTGCACTGCAAATTGCACAAGCTTGAGTAGTCTTTAAATGTTTAAACTGGTGCAAACCCACCTGCCTCTTCTAAATTAATCCTGACTGGCTTTGAAATTAATCTAGTTCTAAGGCAATGAAGAATGATCTGGTTTAATGAAACTGCTAGGAAGGGCTGGATTAGGGGTGAGGGTGAGCTGGGAGGACAGGGGTGACCTTCAGCTGGCCTGCGTGGCAAGGCAGACTGTCTGCTCAAGAAGCCAGCGCTGCAAAGATGAAATTGAAGCGCAAGTGAAGACGAGTGCTTGCCCTTGCCTTGGCTGGTAAAGCGGGACGTAACCCAAGCTGCTGTCAGAGGCTGCGCCTGCAGCATTGATGGGTATTTAATACCTCTCCCGTCTGAAGCACAGCAGGGTGGCCGAAGGCACCGATGATGTGCTCTGGAGCAGGGCAGGATGCTGGGGCCCCACTGCCTCCTCGCCAGGACCGTTTGCTGGCCTCCCACACCCCCCACACCAGAGGGTGATGGGACTGCTTGGGTCCTCCCTGCACAGCATGTTGCTTACACGTATCTGAAAATGTCAGATGTCGAGTCGACTCTGCGCGGCATTTTGTGGGAGCTTTGATCCCAACGTGATGATCTGGTTTCAGAGATGCTTGAAAGGCATCGTCTGATGAAAGTGTTGGCCTCCCTAGTCTGTAGCAGCTTTTTGTGGAGCGTTTGCAGGAAGTGTGCTCTAAAACTAATTAACCTTATTACTGCAAAACCCCTAACGAGGACTTCACTGCTCTATAAGAACAGTTAACCTCTTGGAGCAGAGTCTCTGGCTGATGTCGGTTAATGCAAATCTCTAGTTTATAGCTGCAGAAGTGATGGTAAATGTTTGGTTTGCTGCTGGCAGGCTCTCTTGGCAGTGTTTTTCCTCTGCCTGGTGCTGGCTTGGGCTTTGGAGTTGGTTTTTAATAGGGGTACTGTGATCTCGGCCGGCCTCAAACGCTGGAGAAGGTCACTCTGTGTGGGAACGGTGTGCTGCTTGTGGTGCTCCAGGGCTAGGACCGCCTTCAGTGCATAGCGGTCGCTGCTTGTGCATCCTTCTCCTGTGCTCCCGGCGCTGTGTGGGTACTCGGGGCATCTTGGATGGTGCCGCATCCCGGGCTGTGTTTGGCTGAGTCCCCCACTAGTGCTGCTGCCCAGCCTTGCTCTGCAATCCGTCATGTAACAAATTGCTCGGTTCCCCTGCTCCAGTGAGAAACCTGAGAGCTGAGCTCACCTTGGTGCTGAGGCTGGTGCGATGCTGAGCAGAGACTGCACCTGTTCAGCATCCAGCTTGGGAGGCAAGAATAAAGGAGCCCCGGGGGTACAGGGAAAGGTCATGCGTAGGATGCCTTCGAGTTGAAGGTGAATTATTTTGAGTGGTGGAGTGAGGAGGAGGGATTTGATAGGCGCGCGTTGAGTGGGACATGACAAGGACTGTGAAGCTCAGTTTAGTCGTGCGAGTGGCTCATGGATGATGGAGGGATCCACACTTGGGGGTGTGGGCTCTTCCTATTCGTTTGCTGCTCTCGTTAGCCTGAGAGATGCTTGGAGAATGCAGAAACTGTCCCATGTGCTTGTTTTGCTCAGGGCTTGCCATGACATTGATGGATGCCACAACAGATAAGGACCCGCTGGTCCAGGAGCAGATCTACAATGCGTTGTGCTACTTGGGGGAATCTGAGCCGGAGGAGATTCTCCGTGCCTGTGATGAGTATCTCCGGCAGCACGACAAGGTACGGGTCTGCACTGCGTGTTCCTGGAGGTGCCAGCAGGATGCAGCATGCCTCCTGTTGGCTCAGGAATACTGGCTTCTTCAGCACCTGAGGGAAGAACCTGGGGAGACATGGGCTAAAATAGTGGTGGACCAGGCAGCTGAGACACATCTGTCCCAAGGCCCTGCAGTTGTTTGGTAGCTGTTGGAGAAACAGTGGTAGTATACTATCATGGATCAGAAACAGAGTAAACCTAGCTGAGTTTTGATGTGATCAAAATCATTGCCTTTTCGGTACATTGTGGCAATGTTAGCCTGTCCCTCTCCAGGAGCGACAGGTATGCTGGCCCCTTGCAGCTGCAGCGGCTCTGGAGTGGGCAGTGTTGCTTGCCCCAGGGGAGCCACAGTGCACGTGCTGCACCACAGCTCCTGGTTGACGCCTGCCTGACTGTCCGCTTTCTCCCTCCCTTCCAGCTGGCCTATCCTCACCGGGTGATAATCCTGAACGCAATGGAAACGGTGGTAAAGAATAACATTGCCCTCTTGGACAAAAGCACAGCGAAGGTGGTTATCTTTCTGGCATCTAATGAAATGACCAAGTCAAAGGTACAACCTGAAATCGGGGGCTTGTTCTGTCGTTCTCCTCAGCTGGGCCCTTTCTCCCCATCCACTGTTGCGGCAATGAACGCCACATGCGCAGGGCCAACAGCGTCGGAATCTGCCCTGCTTCTCCCTGCTGTAGTGGTCCTGGGCTGCTTTTGTGGAAGGGAAGGACTAATTACGTGCTATCTTCCTGGCTTTGGGATGGCGGAGGGGTAGGGAGTGGGCTGCATTCCCCTCTGGGGAGTGGCAGGGACGGGTTGGCTGACGGTTTTCTTTTAGCAGCGCGTGCATGCGCAAGCAAATAGCGTTTGGATGCTCGGAAGCCTCTAGGCAGGCAGGTGGGTATTACAGTGGGAAGGAGGCAGTGCCTTGAGGGACTGTGGGTCGCTGGGGAGTTCCCCCATAGTATTTGGAGCAGGGCATGAAACATGGTGTATATAAATGGAGCAGAAACGTTTTGCTGGGGGAGACCACGTCTGATATGGGATCTGTTCTGATGTGGTTTTGTCCTGTCTGAGCCAGGAAGTAGTACGTGACTGGCAACAGGCCGCCAGCAACGTCCTTGTTGCAGTGGGGCAGCGCTTCATCAACAAAGTGATGGAGGAGGTGCTCACCAAGTTTCAGCCGGGGATCCTGCCGCACTATTTCATTATGCAAACGTTTGCCAACCTCTCTGTGTCGAATGGTGAGTTGGCAATCTGCTTTCTCTGTGTGCAGTTGCTGATCTTTATAGGAAAGAATAGTGGATGCGCCTCATGTGCTTTGGGCAGTGTTGTAATTCACACCGTGCTCAGAATAGCTCTGAGGTAAGACACCTCTGCGATGTTGTGCATGGTGAACAAGCTAGCATGCTTTTAAAAAAATAAAAAAACCACACACAAAAAAAACCCTTTTCAGGATCTGAAAACGTAGACTTGAGGCTGATAAAGAACTGGGATATTTGTTGCATAAAATAATTCAGTGAAGAGAAATGCACTGAAAAAACAGTCTGTAAAGTACTGATACGGAATGAAGGAAAGATACCGCTGTGAATGGTTTGCTTGCTGTATCCTTCATTCCTCTTCCCTCCCAAAGAAACGGGGGCTGGAGGAAAGCAAAGTCAGTACCTCAAGGAGCTGGTGGTAGGAAGCAATCTGAAAAACCCTGCTCTGCCTTCTCGTTGGTTACTTCTCGTTGGGAACAGTTAGGACTCTGTGCCCAGCGCTGCAATCAATAGAGGACATCTTCTTATCGAGGAGTAGCAAGGGTGTGCACCGTTTCCTACTGCACTATCAGGAAGCAGACAGCATCAGCTGTCTTGGCTTGTCTGAGCAGAGCTCCTGAGGAGGTACAGCTCCAGGGCCTATGCCAGGTATTCCCCAGTGACTGCTGGAAGCTCTGCTCAGTGCCCTAGAAAAGAAGGAAAGCCATTGTGGAGGCCTGGATTCTGCCCTTGAGCTGCTGGTATATGTACAGAGCTGTGCGTCTCGTCTGCGGCTGGAGGAGTTATTCCTGGCGGAGAGGGAGAAATGCAGGGCTCTGTGTCCTAACCGAGCGCAAGCTGCTCTCGCTGGAGCTCCCTGTAGTACCTTGCACATACCTTGCAAGTGCTGGGAGTGCAGGAGAGCTGAGTCTGTGTAAAAGTACACTGAATTTAGAAATCTAGCGTAGCTTGGTTTCAGTTCAACAGAATCACTTTAAAAATATTTGTTGCTTAAAGGCAGAAGGAATTGGAGCTAGATGTCCTTCTTCCTTAGCTGCTTCCTTGCCTAGATAGCATGAGGTGGTTTTCTGTTTGCTTGGTCTCCCCAGCTGTGCTCTTGTCTCCAGCTATCCCTATAAAGACTGAGTTTAAAAATGATATTTCTAGGATGGGACTGTCTTCACTGATGGAGAATCAATTCTCTGGCAGCAGAAAGATCTGCTGACTAGTCAGATGCCAGCAGGCACCTCACCAGCTTTGTTTTGGTAAATGGTTGTAAACTTAGGGGCTTGAAGGACTGTGAGCTTCTCTTGCCACCACGTATTGGGGCTGCTGGCAGTCGTTTGAGGCTGTGAGAATTTCTTGTATGGCAAAATTGGGCCTCCTGCAGTTCCAAACTGCCAGCAGACTGCTCTGGCTGATAGTGAATGACTGCAGCGAGCTGAGTTTCTTCAGGTGCCTATGTCATCTTGCTGGGTCTCCTTCCTATTTAGGTTCTGGTGGCAGTGTGGTGTCTGCTGCAAGCAAAACTCTCCCCTTTTCTTCCCCCAGTATTTGGAATGGTGCCTTTTCTAAACTCCATCCTTGGAACGATGCTGCCGATGCTGGGAATGGCCAAACAGGACCACATGAAGTCTGTATTCTGCTATGGTAAGGTTTTCTGGCTCTTCTGAGACTATACTGACTTTAGATGTGTTGTGGGAGACTTCTTCCTTTTACTGGCAGAGACCTTACTCTGAGGCTGAAGGGCTGCTTAGGAGAGACCTTTCCAAAATGCCCAGGTGCAGGGACCTGGCTGTCTCTGGAGAGGGATGTATAGCTGCCAGCTCTAGGTCATGGGAATCGAGCAAAAGGCCTTTTCTATCTACAAGCTGATCTCTATTGCTCCTGTTTCATAGCCTGGTGAGCAGTGGCACCCTTGGCTTTCTCCTCTGGCCAACAGCAGGCGAACGCAAAGGGTCTCCTTACTCCTAAGCCATCCTGACCCGGATGGAGGTGAACGCGTGGTAGGACGGGGGAGGAAGGAGCTACTCGAGACCGCTGAATAAGCGGAGAGCCTGACTGGTAGGGCCATGGGGCCATGAACCTGGCAACTTCCAAGAGCACAAGTATTCACCTGCTAGGAAAATGCAAAGACTGTCTAATACAACAACTATTCATAGGCAACTCTTATTCAAGTCACTTCTGTAATTCTCATGAACTGGTTTCAGGATATGACACTTTCTGGTGGGCTGGAAGGATGTCACATGCTTCCTTTCCTCTGAAGTCCTCCTCTAGTCTTGGTCTTGTTGATGGCTGCTGCTTGTGCAGCAGGTCTGTGCTGGTTGCTGCTGGTATTTGTGTGCTGGGTTGGTACCAGGGCTCCCTGGGCCGAGACCCATGCGTGCAGTCAGGGAGAGCGCTAGCTCGGCTTCATCCCTGCATGTCCTGTCCATGCTGGCTGCAGTGGCAGGGTCTCTGACTGCCGGGACCTGTTCTATCTCGCCGGGTGTTTGACCCAGAAGTACCGCCCCTTACCGGAGTGACAAACAGCCGATTCGGTTCTTCCTCTGTCTCCAGTAGGAGCTAATCCACCTTCACAAGGGTGCGGGGAGGAGCAGACCTTGCAGGTGGCTTGTCGCTGTGTGCGAGGGGATGGACATGGTGCAGCTCCTGGTCATGGTTGCCTGATGCTGCTCTGCCAGTGAGTCACTCTCCCATGTTCGGGGTGGCAGTGTCCGCACCTCCAGCTGCAGGATAGTGCAGAGCCCTGAGCTGCTTCGCTGTGGAAAACTGGGCATGACATTACAGCCTTGTGAATATCTGGCAGAAGATCCGCAGAACTGGTGTTTTTCTTCCTGTGCCTGGGCAAAAGTGAAAGGTAGTCTGGGGGAGTGCTGGTTCCAAGGCTCCAGCAGATCCTGTGGGCGATGCACAGCAGCGTGCTCCAGCAGTAGCCCTTGTCTCGTGCTGGCATTTACGTCCAGGGTCTGGGGATGCTGCTGTGGCTTTACATCAAGGAATAAATGGGGTCAGTGGGAGCCTCCCAGACAGCCCTGTAAACTGCAGGGATGAATGTGCAACTAAGCTCAGCAGAATCTGTTTCTTCTAGAAACAGTGAAGCTTTACTTAGTGTCTGAACTCTCGTTTTTGGAATCTGCTGCAGTCCAGTAAGAGTTTTATACTGTTAGAAGTGAAGCTCTGCCTCAGCCTTAAGAGCTCTTCTATTATATTTAGCTCATAGCAAGAAAAGTTAAAGCTTAATGCATCTGTGGATGCCTGTTCTCAGAAGGCTAGAGCCAGGGTCAGGTAATCTCTGAATATGCAGCGTCCTCCTTAAAAAGCCGCTTCATCCAGCGATGACGACTTGGTATCAAGTTGGAGAGTCTACGTTGTCTAGATTGCCAGCTTGTCGCTGCCTTTTCCCTTGCAAAGTGTGTAAGAGTTGTTTAAGCGTAGCCAAACTCTTGCAAACTGTTGCACTGGTTTAGCCATGAAGGTTGTTAGTGTTGGCAGCTCAGGCAGTTTAGACTGGCTGGGGGTGACCGTGGATATCAGACTGCATCTTGATAGAGCATGGCAGGAAGCCTGGTATTATTCCTGTCTGAGACGTTTATCAAAGGTGCCTGGCCCAGCAGAGAAAGGATCCTCTGTTCAAATGTGGTAAGAACTGATGAGAAGGATCCTGCAGGGAACACGGTCCAGATGGGTCTCCAAAAGGTAAAACTCAATTTTGAGTTTCAGATGGCTCTTTTTCCTGAGCAGCCTTCCAGTATCAGTAGCTCTTTCCTCTGTTGTTTCAAGTAATATGGTAATCACTTCATTAAGCTTTGATGTACTCCCTGTTATCGTCTCAATTTGGTCCTGAGAAATTTAATGTCCTGGATCATCATGTGGGCCCTTCTGTAATAACATCCTCGTAACTGCTGCTGTGCTGAGGCACGGTCAGTTTGTTTGTTTTTGGAAAGTACTTGGGACCTCTTAACTTGTAGCCTTGAACACGTGAATTCTCAAAAATGCTGCCAGGACTTGTGGGATTGATTGTGCTAGAGAGCACAAGGGGAGTGAATGTCTCTACACAGCCCTGTGCACATCGGGAACAGTCTAGTGCTGTCCCCCAAAGCCCTTGCCTGGGCCGTGGTCTGTCCTTCTCAGCTGCTCCTGCTGGACTCCCTGATGGATCTCCCCTCTGACATGGCTGCATGCGTCCCGAGTGGCCCGGCCTGCAGTGGCGCGGCAGGGACGTGCCAGCCTCAGGAGCAGCGGCTGAATGTGGAGGTGGCGAAGGGAGTTTGGAGATGTGATCCTTGCAGTGCCGGTGCTGGGGTCGTTGGCAAGATGCTGTTTTCCCAGAATGCCAGGAAGCGGCGCTGCCTGCAGAGGCTCTGGCCAACGGTGCTGCAGAGAAGGGAACCAGCTTCCCCGGTGCATTCTAAAACCTCGCTGGCTGGAGCAACGATTGCCCTGAGCAAGCGTCTCCTGAACTGTGCCTTTTTAAAAAAAAAAAAAAAAACAACGGCGGGGGGAGAGGCGAATGTAATGTTATCCTATCATGCACCTGCATTTAAGCTGAGGGAGGACTCTTAGGTGGTATTTTCTGTTCTGGAAGACTAGGGCTTTGCCTCGAAGACAATAATCCCTCCTGCCAGGCAGACCAGCTGCCAGTGGTACTTATTCCTTGGATGCCCCTATCTGGGGAGCGGAGGGGGGAAGGCATGTGACAACAATAATCTGGCTTCGATACGAGGTCACTGGGTGAGGAGTGAGTGACTCAGCATCTCTGATGTTACTGGGCTAAAAACAAGTATCTGCCGTGGACGAGAGCAGAGCACGGAGGCTTTCCGCGGGGGCTGTGCATGCCTCCTCCCACCATGTGAGCCGTAGCGCTCGGTGTTGCAAGACGGGCCGCGTCCCTGGCTCTTGTCTCGGGAGCTCCCTGCTCTGCTCTTCCTCCTTCCGCAGCCTGCTTCCTCCTCTCGTCAGGTTAATAACTTTAGCCAGCGTGGGTGCGTTTAACTTATGAGCAGCACGAGCGTTGGCCGCAGAGCATGCTGATGGCTCGGCTCGCCTCCTCAGGGTATGTGGGGCTCTGGAAATCGCGTTGAGCTCTCCCGTCCCTGTGACCTCAGATACGGCCAGCGCGATCACGTGGGCGTGAGAGTTTGGATGCAACTGAAAACATGGGCTCCAGAGTCTGAATTGGGCTGTACGGGGCTCTTCTCACACCAAAATGCTTTATTCCTTGGTCAGTTCTTACATGTGGCTGTTTCCTCCGTGGCTTTAGTCTTCCCTCTTCTTTCGTAACGCTTACAGAGGGGAAACCTCATACCTACTCACGGTACCAGGAAGTCATAAGGTCTCCCCTTAGCAGAGTTATTTCATGACTAACAGATGCGGGACGTGAGTTGTGCAGTCCCTCCCTACAGAGGAGTTGGAGTGACCCATGCTCAGCTCTTTTCCGGCAGGAGCTGGGTGCACTTCCCCTTCCCTGGCCAGCGCTGCTGTGTCCCGGCTATGCTGGGAGGGACGGCTGGGTCCTGCAGGGCTGGCATGGGGCAGCGGCTCACCCTCTCCAGGGAGGGGTGGCCCGGGGGTGGGATGAGGTCTCGGTGCAGAGATTGGGGGTGGCAGGATGAGCTCCCCTGCGGAGCAGAGCAGGGGCCAAGCTGCTGGCGCTCGTCCCTCTGCTCTCCTGCCTGCCTTGGCACCTCTCCGTGCACTACTTGCTCTGGATGCTCAGCAGCCCATCACGACGCTGGCAGGGGCCACCTCCTGCTTCTCGTGAGCCTCTGGTCCTGCTGTCAGCCTCTGGGGAGCTGGGGTGCTAGCCCTGCTCAGATATTCAGACTGACCTCCAAAACGCCCTTTCTCTGGCTGGAGTCGGGGAGCTGCTGCCTGAATTGCTGGTCTTTAGGACAGACCCTGCATGTGCTTGACTTGGCTTGAGGGGAGGAGGAAACTCTAGCGTGGGGTTGTTTGGGGCAGGGACAGACCACGAGAGCGGTGCTGCTAGCCGTTTTAGCGTTGCTTGGAGGTGGTGACTAGGGAACCCCAAAACGAGCGTGATGGTTGGGGAGAGGCTCCTGGCTTGCAGAGGCAAGTCTGGGCAAGATGCCCAGGCGAGATGTGGTGCGTAGTCTCTGCACAAGGTTGGTAACACATTGACCTTGGCAGCTGCGTCTGCAAAACTCGTGTTTTGTGGTAGGTAGCAGATCGCTACCTCAGCGAACTCGGGCCACTTACCTCGCTCCAATGCTGGCGGTGAAGAGTAGCTAAGCTAAAAGAGACTAGCTGTGTATTATGGGGATTAAGGAAGGGAAATGCTTCCAGGACAGAGGTGTCCAGCTCACAAGAGTTATTTCTGTTTGTGCCAGAGCTTCTCAGCACCTGGCGGCTCAGTGTGAACTAGGAGGGAAATAATTCCCAGCCATTGGGGGCCCTTTTCTGGCTAGGGACGGCACGAGCAAACAGAACTTGCGAGGCCACCCTTGATCCACAGGTAGCATGTGGAAAGGGTCCATGCCTCTACCCCCAGCGCGGGGGAATCCCAGGACCTGGCACTGCAGACTGCCTGGCTCTGGAGAAGGAGCTGCTCGAGCAGGTCCAACGTGCTGCAGGGCACCACGCTAAACCGATGTGGCAAGGCAGGGCTTGCCGTTGAGCGGTGCTTCTCAGGAGGGGCACAAGGCTGTGCCTCTGAGCAGTTTGTAAAGGTCTATGTGGACAAACCTGTCTGGAGCACTGGCTGTGTGCCTGCTGCAGCAGGCTGGCCGCATGTACGCGCAGCAGCAGCACAAAGCTCAGCTCAGAGAGGTTCCTGCTGCAATAGCTAGAGCAAAGCCCAGTGCAAGAGGTCCTGAGTCTGGGAACCCTATTGCATTCTCATTGATGTCCCATTCGATGCCCCCAGCTGCCAGGTAACTCCTAAAGTAAAACTAGGGGAGTAAGTCCAACCCTTGGGTGCTGCTGGCTGGGACCCGTTTCCTGGTGTGAGGTGAACTTGACCAGTTGGGAACTGCGTAAAGCCACGACCAAAGCTTCCTCAAGGGGGAAGACGGAAGCTAGATATCCCCTTTCAGTAGTTTTAATGAGTCTTATGTTTGAGCCAGGAAGCATGACTCTACACAAACATGCTCTAGTTGCTGCTCTAAGTTGCAAGAGGAAAAATAATACCAGTTCACATGCAACACTTGCTGGCCCAGGGACCGGAACAGCTGAGATGAGGACCTGTGCTGACTTGCATGGGACTAAGTGGCTGTTATACTTGGCTGGCCTAGCTAACAAACGTATAGGAATACCTGTGTGGCACATACAGACTCCTGATGGCTAAATGGAGTTGGGTCTCTGGAGGTGTTGCATCCGTCCTGGACCAGGAAGCAGACAAGCAGCGTGATGTCTATTGCATGGCTCTCTGCCAGTATCCCTCATAGCCAGGATCTCTCTCGGGAGGTGTCTGAAGCTTGCCAGAAAGAGTCCTGGTGCATATGCTATCCCTTGAGATGCTGCCCAGTAAAACAGCACTTCAACCATCTGCTTTCTGTAGGGCTAAAACAAACACCGCTTTGTATGCGTGGAGAGTCTAAATAAGCGAATCTGTCTTACAGCTCTGCAGCACTTCAGTGAGAGCATCCAGGAATACTTGGCGAACTTGGACAAGGCCCCAGACCCCACGGTCAGGAAGGACACCTTCTCAAATGAGATTTTCAGTGCATACGAAGTGCTCTTCAACAGCTGGCTGCAGCACCGGGAAGCTAAGGTGCAGATAGATGTGGTGCCTGTGAGGGCTGATGGTATGGTGGGATGGCCCTGGAAGTTATGTACAGGCGTGCTTGCCTGATGCTAGCCTGGGGACTGTTAATCTGCCGTCCATCTTGCTGCTTCTCAGCTATGTCCCTATAGTAAGGATGCGGCTCCTAGAAAAATGAGCCCCTGCCTCTAGCCTAAGGCCTGATGCTTTTCTCCTTGCAGCCTGCAGCTCTGCTTGATTTCCCCGTCCTCTCGCCCATACGCAAGGCATGCAGAGCGGGTAGATCACCCCTGTGCTGGGCTGGTGTTAAGATGCTGTCTCCAGGCTGGGAAGTAGAATAAGTGACTGAGGGGTGTTTTCACTGTTCTTTCGGGGGAGAGACTGGGCTCATGCTGTGCTCAGAAGATGGCTGGATGGGCCCTGTCCTGCTACTAATGGATGTCTTCAGGCCTCCCCCTTCTCTGCTGAGCACCCCTTGCACGTAGGCTGGCAAGGCAGGGGGAATGGCTTCCCTAACTGCTGTTCAGTGGCTCTTAAAAGCACAAGGGACAGCAGCTCTGTGGTAGTGGAGCAGTGGTAATGCAGGCCTGTGGCTCAGGATTGAGGCCAAACTAATGCAGGGCGTGATCTCTCCCTGCAGCTGAGGCTGGCGGTGGTGGAGGCCATTGGACCTATGAGTTACTTGGTGCCCAGTGAAAAGCTTGAGGAGCAGCTCCCTAAGCTGATCCCAGGCATTCTTGCCCTCTACAAGAAGCATGCGGAGGCCTTCTACATATCCAAGGTAAGTGGCTCTGCGTGCCAGTGTCACTGGCTGAGGACCCATCCCTGACCCTGTTCAGTGGGAACCTTGCTGGGAGCATGGGGTGCGTAGTGCATCAGACCCCTGAGGAGCTCTGCTCTCTCCTGCCTTCTTCGCTTGCTGGGCAAACCCAGTGGAGACCAGGCTGACCTGCTTGGTTTGCCCCTTGTCACTCTAAGGCCCGGCTCCCTTCCCCTGAATAGGGATGTACTGCAGCACCGTCCCATGTCAGCCTGGCATGCTGCGGTCTCTCCCACTGGCAGCAGGTTGGAGCATTGCTTGGGAGCGTGGATGGCTTTCCATGAATGCAGAGGGACTGCTGAGTAGTGGCTCTGCTGGTCCTCGAGCACTGTGTATGGCTGCGAGGGAAAGTGGCAGCAGCAGAAGCATCTTAGCCCTTACCTTACCAATGGTGCTACGCAGCTCCCACAGTGCCTCTGCCAAGTTAGACTGGGCTGCAGTTGCCTTAACCAAGGATGGAGACTCCACAACCTCTCTCCCTTTTGTAAGACTCCTCCCTGTGTCATGATCCATTTTGCTGTCGAGCCCGTGTCGCATGGTTGTCCCTAATAATCAGTCAGGTTATTAGGGACAACCATGTGACACATGGGCTACTGCCATCTCTGCTGTCTCTCTGAGCCGTGCCACGTCCTGGTACTATGGTTGGCACTCGGTTCTCACCTGTGCACCCAGCTGTGGCTTGGTCTGCACGCAGCCTGCCAACATGCCTCTGCTGGCTGCTGCCTCATGGAAATAGCAGCTGGTCTCATGCAAGTATCTTGATCTCAGAGGTAGAGGTAGTGGCAGCTTCTGGGAGCTTCCAGCTGTGTTGCCCTGCTGCTAGCTGTAGTCATGGTGGGTTTGTGATCACTGCTGTCACCTGCAGCCCTTTCCCCATGGGCTGGCATATGCTGACCTGGCACGTGTATCCCAGTCCTCTGTCCTCCTTTGGAGTCCTGAGTCCTTTTCTGATGTTAACTGCAAAGTGACCTCTTGCCGAGCAGAGTCTCTGCCAGATCCTGGAAGCTTCTGTCAACATTGGCAGCCGCAGCCTTGACATGCAGCTGGACTCCTTGCTGGGCACCCTGCACCCCCAGGTAAAGGGCTTGGGGGTGAGTGGCTCTGGTCAGAGGGCAGGGAAGCTGCAGTTTCTTGGGGGCTGTAGCACTAGAGTTTGCTATAAGCTTGGACTGCTCGGGGCTTCTCTTGAGTCAGCCCGAGAGTGGGACACGCAGCTTGCTCGGCTCTTTCTGTTCTGAGCCTTTAGAGCTCTGTCCTGCATGACCTGGTCCAGGGACTTACTTAAAACCAGTTCAGGCTATTGTGATGAAGCAGCCACGCAGAGTAGCAGCATGTGGTGCAGAAACCCTCTCGTCTGAGCCGCGAGGAAGAACCTTAGACAAGGACTCCCGTGGTGTCAGCCCGTGGCATCGATCACCAGTGGGGCTCGCTCCTCCTACAGGGAAGCTCCTGTGATGGGAGACAGTGTGGGAGGGCTGGTGTTCTGGTTTGAACATACCCTGGTGCTGGGCTCCGTGGAGAATACTGCTAGTCCCAGAACAGCTTTCTCCGACTGTTTGAGGGGCAGCCAGCATCTCCTACCCTAGCAGCGAACCCCTGAGAGCACCAGCTACTGCTCCTGACTCCTCCTGGGGATGATCCCCAAATGGATCACCAACCACGATCAGCACCAACTTGAGGTCTCCTGTTCCCTTTTCCTCGTGTTTCTGGGAGTTCCCCAGCACACTGGAAGCAGAGAGGGGATCCTGCTTCCTGGCATGCTCTTGCCTCAGTTGCAGCCTTGCGTGTGTCAGGTGGCTGCACTGCACAGCAAGCGTGGGCAGAGCCCCTCAGAGGCTCTGCTTCTGCTCCGAGAAGGTTCTTCTCACCAATGTCCTTGCCAACTCAAGATTTGGTTATATGCTATGTTGAAGGAGTCACGTGAGTGGCCAAGTTTCTTGGAAGTGAGAGCAGCTCTGGCCACACAGATATGGAGAAACTTGGAGAAAACAAACAAAAAAAATCAAAATCTGTGGACTTCTCTTTTTTAAAGAGTAGGCCAGGACATTGACTGGTCGGGGGGCATTGACTGTGTAGTGGCAAATGGGTACCTGATCTCTGGCTGCCAAGGCTGGACTCCTTGCATGTGCTCTTCTGCTGCAGGGATTTGAGATCTATTGTATTACTAAACTCTTAAATCATGCTCAATCATGAACAGTTTTTAGTAGTTTAAAGTCTTTGTCTTGGAAGTGTCTAGAAGAGAGATGTTGTCCTTAACACACACGTGTTGGTCAAATGATCTATAACAATCAAATACAGTAATGGTGCCATTTGTAGAAACTACTTGTTGATAACTAGTTTTGACAGGCAGGCTGCATCTGTGTAGTATAGGTTAGCTCTGTGAGTCTAGGGCTCTAGGATGTGACTGATTAGCAAAGCAGCTCTGGCTCATTTGCAAGCTGAAGTGTCGTTTTGGCAGACTGGAGTACGCAGATGTGCGTTGTCCTTGCTGCAATGTTGTGTGTGCAGCTCTTAGTTTTAATTGAATTGGGAACCTGAATTATCTTCCTAGCACCTGGAAGGGTTGACTCATCTTGAAAGAGGAGCTCCAAAGGAGTTGGCCAGCTGGTCCTGGCTGGCTGGTGTCATGCATCTAAATAACAGAGGCCAGAGCCATTGGAGCTGGTACTGGGGGCCAGCAGCTCCTGAACAGGCTTCTAATTCCCAGGTACCCCCCGGCGTGACTTAACCTGCTGGTCTGAGCACATGCAGATGTTGTGCTCAGCCACTGGCTGGAGGCCGGCTGCTCGGCAGGGAGCTGCACGTGGAAAGCACTGCTGTGCGCTCCTGTGCTGCGGGACATTGTTGCACCCGGCAGCCCTGAGCTCTGTCCACCCCCAGCTGTGGCATGTTGCTTGTGCTGAGTGCGGATCTGCCTTTGCACTTGTGAGACAGGACCAGTGCAGGGAGCTGAGTGTGCAGCCTGCTATGGACTCACTGACCACGTGTTTCTCCAACAGATCTGTGCTCCTGCGGATCCATCTATCCCCCTGACTGTTAAAAACCACACAGAGGTTCTCCGATGCTTCACTGTCCTCGGTAAGGGCCGAAGTGGCACAGCTGTCCCAGAGCTCCTTACACACGCAGATTAAACCCCATAAGTGTGGGTGTGTTGTGTGGGGGCTGGTATTTTCCTGGTAGTTTCATGGTCCTCTCTCAAAATCACAGAACGGTTGAGGTTGGCAGGGACCTCTGGAGATCATCTAGTCCATTCCCCTGCTCAAGCAGGGTCACCTAGAGCACATTGCCCAGGATCACGTCCGGGTGGGTTTTGAATATCTGCAGGGAAGGAGACTCCACAACCTCTCTGGGCAACCTGTCCCAGTGCTCAGGCACCCTCACAGTCAAGAAGTTTTTCTTCCTGTTCGGATGGAACTGGCTGTGTTTCAGTTTGTGCCTGTTGACTCTCATCCTATCGCTGGGCACCACGGAGAAGAGGCTGGCCCCGTGCTCTCGACACCCTCCCTTCAGATACTTGTGCACATGGATCAGATCCCCCCTGAGCCTTCTCTTCTCCAGCCTGAACAGTCCCAGCTCTCTCAGCCTTTCCTCATAGGAGACATGCTCCAGTCCCCGCACCATTTTAGTAGCCCTCCACTGGACTCTCTCCAGCAGCGCCATGTCTCTCTTGTCGTGGGGAGCCCAGAATTGGGCACAGTACTGCAGGTGAGGTCTCCCCAGGGCTGAGGAGAGGGCGAGGATCACCTCCCTGCACCTGCTGGCACCACTCTGCCTAACGCACCCCAGGATCCCATTGGCCTTCTTG